TCACCTTTTTTTCCCTTCACCCCTTACTACTTATGAAGTGTTACTTCATAACTGCTATCTGAATATTCTACTTTTTAAATACACTGAAACTATTAATATATCTCAAAATAAGTTGCCAGATTTAATTCTATTAGTAACTGACTAGTACTAAAAGATCTGTCAGCATAATTTCCTTAGGTTTCCCATCTATTGGTTTATTATTATTTTCTCATTGGCTTTATGGGAGGATGAAAAAGTCTACTTTTCTTGTTACCTTATAATACTGATTAGTTGAATTTGCCTTGCTAAGTGAGATTAATAGAGTTTGACAGCATGTTGAGTCAGAGGCAGTCATGTCCATTGATATTAAACAGTTGGCCACCTATAATGCTGTCCTTTGGCATGCATAGATTTGTCCTCTTAGTTGAAATAAGTTTGAAATTTCAGTGATTCCCGAAATAAAATGATAAATGAATTTGAGTATGGATGGCAGAGCATATATTTTCCATGCAGGATAGTAATAAGTGTTACTTGAATTTACAGATAGGAATAGCAGTGCATCATTGGTATTCTTCAGTCAGAATAAAATAGGACATGATTCGCTGAAAGCAGAAAGGATTTGTTGGGAAGCCCTATTTTTTGAAATGGAGTTTAAAGTCAAACTTGAAAGACAGTTCTGCAATATTTTGATTGATTTGCATGCACACAGATTTTGCACCTTCTCTTAATAAATGAAATTATGACACATTTGTACATTATATTTATGTATAAAACCATATGTACACACAGTTCCTTTGTAATTTGGAATATCAGGTTCATTCAAAACAGTCATAGACTTGTATATTCAACTGAAATTCAGTTAGGGCTTTTACAAGACTATGGCTTAACAATAATTTCTCTAAATGTTATCAAATATCAAAATAATTGCTTGTAGTTGCACAAATGGGAGGAATGTGTAATTCATATTATTTTTTGCTGGGTTTAAAACATGAACACAAGGTATTTAAGGGCAGAAGAAGTTGCAGGTGTTAGAAAAGTTACTTTTACAATTGATGACTCTTATGATTGTCCTTGATTTTATTCTCATTTTGAAAAAATGGAAATTAATTGTGCAATTGTTGATAATTCTACAGTTTCGTCTTGTACCTTGGAAATAGCCTAAAAAGCACTGCATTAATTTTTCTTTCACAAATTATTTTTTTGGCCATGATCATGTGGGTCACAATAATTTCTTCTTTTTCTTTCTGTCCCCCTCATACCTAAGTCATACTCCACAATACGCCCCCAAAGGAGGTACAGCTGGCCAGCCCCACTCTGATGCAGGCATGCTGCTGTGTCCCTCTGCCTAGCCTTGTAGGTAGACTTTGAAATTAGTTAGATTTCTAGTAGTGCAAGGCTGAGCACACTTCAGTCTAGATTGCAAACAATCTACATGGTATACCAAAACTTTGGTCACCCAATATAAAGGAAAAAATGAAATACTGAGGAAGATAACATCAAAAGGATTGGTTGGGTTGAGGGCCTTGTGAGTGAATCAGGAAACACAATGAAGGAATAAAACGTGTGTAAGTTGATTCCTGTTTCTTCATGAGCCCAACATGATTCCCTGTTCCTCTGGGAGATTGTGTCTATGTGTTTGTACGCGTGATAGACAAATGAGCTATAAATGTGCTGTAAGTACTGGAAATAGCACTGAGAAGCCTAACAAACACTATCACTTCCACATTTGAATGGCAAATAAATTGAAAGAGGAGACAGTATGAGAAACAAAATGTACATTCTAGCTTTTACTTGAACATTACACATTTAAAAAGTTCATGTGTAGAAATGCTCTTGACTTAATAAGTGTACTGTCAGTTTGTACACATCTGTGGGGAAGGCAGGTCTAATGATTGTCTCAGTTCATTGTAATAGATGAAGTAAGTCACTGAGTGTTTACAGAAAGATGAAATATAAGATCTATTTATCTATCTTCAAATACTGAAATGTTACTTTGACAATTATAATGTGGTCTACCCCAAGGCTTCAGAGGGCACTTAGCATGGTCATTGCTGAGAATTCTGGGAATTGAAGTCCACACATTTGGAGGGCACCCAGGTTGGGAATCTGTGTTACCATGTTTATTGCCATTTAGTCTGTCATGAAATCCATATTCTGATACGCTAACGTTCACCGTAGCAACTCTAGACTCTGACAGTAGTTTGTTAAATGTAAGGTGACTGTTCCTCTGAATCTGCACTGTTAAGTGACCCTCACTTAACAGTATTTTTATATTTTAACTAGCAGCAGCAAGACATACTAATGCTCATTTACTCTTTCCCTCCTAGCTACTTTTTATAGAAGATAAACATTTTCTCTTCTGCCTTTGCCAAATTATTTAGGAGAAGAGTGTAAATTGAAGCCATTTATCTTGAAATGTGCCATTGCAGCAGACTGTTTATACAAGTGTAAGAAATTGTAACATAGAAATATTTGGTCTGGTCTGAAAGGAAAAAGGTTTTTTTTTTCTTTTTTTCTTTCTTTTAACAAACTTTGTACACATGGAATTTTTGATATGATACTGAAAATGCATCTGTTTAGCACAAATGGACTTATGACCTGTCTCTGCAGTATAGGAACAATTTTTTTAAAGTAAAGAGAATGTATGTGTTTTTCTGCCTTGTATACAACATTAGCTCTCTTCAAATTGCTTCAGCTCTTAATAGACTATAGAACATTCCATGCATATGGGAACGTTTATTGGTGAGCCTATGAGCTCTTAGAATGTACATAAAGAGTCAATTATTGTTGGCTAATCCCAGGTTGTAAATATTTGTCTGTCAGTTGGTGGGCGAGTGAGTCGGGAGCTAAGTTACACACGCCAGAAGATTGGAGAAGAGGCCATGTTTAATCCTCAACTCATGATTCAGACACCACAAGAAGAGTCTGCTAATGTACTAACAACAGAAGCACTCAGACAGCACCTTGATTCTGCACTACAAGCCAGCAAGATACATGTATATATGTACAACAGGTAAGATCGAAAGAAAAAGGCTCTTTTTCTCATTCAAATCTCAGAGCAGTGTTGGGCAATGCTGCTGACAAGCAATTGTGGGAGTGATGTGCTCCCACCTGGTCATTTTCTGCAGTAACACATGAATCAGAACTTGTTCAGAAGAAATTCAGAAACTCCCTAAATGCTTCCTTTATTGTAGGAGCAGAATTTCCTTGAACATCTGCTTTTCAATATTTACAAAGCCATATCAGCTACTAGTTTTCCTGGAGAGCTACTCTGAAGGAAGCAAGATGAAGTTGATACTGTTTGCTTGGTTCAGCCTTATTTTTCAGTTCAGGGCAGTAAAAAAAAAAAGATGGCAGCTTTGATCATATGGTTGCAGCCACCATCTTGACTTTGTTGAAGCCCCCTGCCCATGACCCTGTTTCAGTTGGCAACTAGGGGGTGGGAAAATCTTGATTTAGCCTCATCTGTATATGCACATCCTAGCTTACAATATCTGAAATTATTGTGCTTCAGAAAGTAAATAAGTTAACTTATAATATGAATATTTGTTTGCTATTAAGTTTAAAAAACAGAGTTTTCTTTTTGCCATAAAACATATTTGAAGTATAACTTTTGACTGTGTTGGGTTGCTGATATACAGTATGTAGTATAAATAGGGGCTTGTTGTGGGAGCCAGTAATATTAAACAGTGGTTTTAGTTAGAATTAAAGCACAACCTTATCTTGAAGTGATCTTACAGTGAGTTTGTTTTGCGAAGTTCAGAACTGTTTTTGATTCAGTGTAGATAAATGTTCAGCATAAATTTTCTCTGACATACTGGAAGGATTCAAAGCAGCAGGAAGTCCTTCACATTCACCAATTGGTAAAGAGAATGGGCATTCAGATTATTGTCTACAGCACCCTTCCACAGCCTAATACCCTCCAGATGTGTCAGACTCCTGTGCTCTTTAGGTGATATGAGATGTAGCTCACATCTGGAGTGTGCAGTTTGGGAAAGGCTGACCTACAATATTGCAAATTTACTTCCATTAATCTTGATTGGTGGTTTCTGAGAAATATGACTTCATGGTTAGAATCACAAAATATACTAAACACTAGAGGCTAAAAGGATCAGCAGGCCATCAAAATCTAACTACTATTACTGTCATAATTCACCAGGAGATTAGACCCATATAGATGAACTAATTTAATTAAAATGGAAGCATGTCCTAAAAGTGGCAAAAAAGGAAACTTTCAAAATAAAGATACAAAGATAAGGCAAGCAGCAAGTTACAAAGAATGTCAGCCTCTCAGTTATTCAGGAGAATGAACTACTTGGACTCATTCAGAAATGGGATCTTCAGTCATTCCTGCACGATTCAAGACCTATTTGCAAAATAATAGTCTCCATAAGGGACAAAACCTGCCTTATTTTTGCACAATAGGCCCCTCATTTAGTCAGAATTCTGAACTTTCTATAAAATTTGTAGTTTCTGTAAGCACAAGTGATCTATTTGAGTAGCATGCAGATTAAATAAATGTATGCTTGTTTTAATGGAAAACAAATTTAATGCAATTTGCTCTTCATTTTTACAGACAATGGAAATTGGAACACTTATGTCACAAATCAGGGGAACCCATCACAGAAACAGGTTATATGGACAAGGTACAGACATTTTATTTATTATATTTTTGTGCATGTTTCTCTAGATTTATAACAATATTTTGAGATTTTTTTCTTTTTCTTTGACAGATTATAGAACATCTTTACCCTTGTTTAATTATCACACCACTGGACTGCTTCTGGGAGGGTGCAAAGTTACAGTCTGGGACTGCATATCTACCGTGAGTAATGTGTGTTGATTTCTAATTTTTTTACCAGTTTAATGAGGCTTCATTTATTTATTGTTTATTCTGATGTTGGACTGACCACAACATGTGAGATCTTTCAGACAAATATACATACAGATGTCTATTTGGCATGTTTTTTCTCTTTAAAAGAGATGTTTAGTTCAATTATTTCATCTGCTTGAATGCAAATACATAGAAGAGGTGACATCTGACCCAGCATACTTGCAAATATAGGTACAGCAATTTCCTGTAGGAATAGCAACTTATTATTTTTAGCTTCCCATCAAAATGTGTTGCCACACAAATGTTGCTTACTTGCAGCTGCTCTGTATATGACTTTATCTTTAGGGGTGGCCTGGTTGTTTCATGGGGGTCAACATGAATAATAGATGGGAGCCAAACTAAGTTAGTTCAATTTTATTCTTGCTGAATTCAGTAGAACAAGTAAACCATTGGTACAGACTTCCAATGATATAGTTTGGATCCTGGTAGGGACACACAAGTCAAGATGGCAGCCACAATCATATGATTAAAGTTATGTCACATTTTTACACACATCTCACAATACATGTAAAAGGACAGGACTTTTATCACACTGTTGCAGCTGTCATCTTGACTTTTTTTTTTTTTGACACTCTGCACCACCCCCCCAGGTTCCTTGGACATTCTTGATTTCAATCTTGTATCTGAACTAGATTCATATTTCATTTGTAATTAGAGCTGATCCTGAGATGATCAGGATTTTAAACTCTCATTGACAGTAAAACAAACATTTTAAACAATACGCTTTAAAATAGTTTTGAGGACCTTCCATTAACTCAGTCATGATAGCAGGTACATCTGAGAAATTACAATAGCAGGTCCTGAGTTTTGCTGGTTTTGCATATGTTTTTTAAAGGATACATGACCTGCTTATGTTTTTCACATGTATCTGCACAACAGTTTTTCCTTTGTTTCATGCAAAAGAAAATTCAGTAAATAAGAAGGAAAAAAAGTCTTTGCTCTATTATAAGAGAATCCAAAATCGATCACTGGGTCTTCAGGCAACTTCCATCATATTTTAGAATGCTTTTGTTATAATAACAGGGACATTTGCTATAATTTTATCTCCCTGATTTCCCTCTATGATGGGAAAGATCTACAGAGAGAGCATTTGAGTGAACTTGATTACAGCCCTCCACAGGAATGCAGATCCTCATTGCTTAATGCAAGGATGCATAGGAATTCAGTAGAAGCCACAATTACATCAAAATGCATCATAATATAGTAGTGGTACAAGTATGCAATTTGCATACTTTTCATGATGCATGAAACATCATTCCCTCTTCCTGCCCCCAGTGAGCACCCTTGCCAAAATAGGCTGTCTTTTGTGAATGAGTTGCTGCAACTTGTGGGGAATATGGTAATGATACAGTGACATTTCCAGGGGATTGGCTGGAATTATTTAGTCTTTTTTCAATATTCTAGCTTCAGTACTTTTGTGTAACAGAAATTGGTATATCAATCCTATTGGAGACAGAACACTTCTATTTTATTACTTAAAACAAGAGCAAAAAAAATAATAATGCCAGTAATTCACTGGTTTGCCACCAAATTTTGGGCAGAATCTCAGGGCCACAAAAAGAATCAATACTTTGAATATTTTAATTTTTTTGCTTTGGTACTTTCAACTTTGTACTGTCAACATATGGTCAAGGGAGAAACAGCAAGGGTTCCAATCAACTTCATACTTCTTTTCATTGCCTGAAGGCAGCATTGTCACCATTATATGATGATTATTGATTATTGTATCTGAGGAATTAAGCCATATATTGAAATGTATGACAGCAGTGGGTAGACTAACAATGGTGTTAAAGTGAAAATATGTAAATTGCTTCCTTCAATTTACCCTGTAATAGAAAACTTCAGCAGAAGCTAGGTTTTGTATATCTGATCTTTTAGTGGTATGAAGTCTCTCTTTTGGATATTGTTATATTCAACATAGTACATCAAGGACTTAATTTTTTAAAAAAAGTTTACATTTGTTTAGGTTAATTGCATAGTTTATTTATATGGTGTAGTCTTTGCCCTGGTTTGTCTGTCTTTGTAAAAGCAACATGCAATGGGTATCACTTAACTTTCAGCATGGACTTTTTTAAATGGGACAATGAAGGAGTTTGTGTTTTCTGGTTGGGAGAGTCTGAATAATATCTTAAGCCTGGTTAAACAGATACAGTGGTCTGAACCAGAAAAAAAGTCAGGCAAAAGCCTTTATGGTCTGGCAACATCACAAAATCAAAAGTGGAAATAGAAAAAAAGCAGCAGAGGCTTAGGAGTTTGTACAAAGGTTACCACGTCTGAAAGAACACATTTAATTTTTTTTTATATTTCTGATTTACATATGACAAATATTTTAAAGAAAGACAATTCTTAATATGATATGAACTTTTCTCCATTATTTGAACATTTCCTTTTCTTGTGACTGTTGAATTCCTTATTTTTTCTGAGTATTCATTTAATTAAGAAAGCATTCATCTAAAATTTAACCATATTTAAAGACCAGATACTAATTTTCTTGTTCATCTGACTCTCTTAGTTTATAAATAGGGACACAGTGTAATATCTGAATTAAGGATAAAGGCTAACTACAACATCTAGAATCTCCCTTAAATTGGAAAAGGTATTCCTGCAAAGATAGCAATTGCTGTTAGGAAATGTTTTTTACCATTGGATTCAAGAAGTTCTGTTAATGTTTACAAGCATTTACTGAGGAATGAACGTGATGCTCACGTGAATAAGAAATTTAGTATGTGAAAAATAGCCTTAAGATAAGAATTTTCAATGACTTTTTCCAAAAGATAAATCCCTAGTTCTTGTGAAATGTTTTAAATATCCTTATGCATATTTCAGTGCACTTTGTTCCAAATAAATATGAATGTGAGTAGGAATGGAAAGCAGTAAATGAATATTTGTGCACATGAGTCTGACCGTTCTTGATACCTTTTCATTTTTCTCTTCATGGAACAGAGGAAAACCCCATTTGCAGTGGACCAACTTTGATCCCTTAGAATTCTTAGAAGAGCTGAAGAAGATAAACTCCCAAGTAGATACCTGGGAGGAAATGCTCAATAAGGCAGAAGTTGGCCATGGGTATATGGATCGACCTTGCCTGAACCCCGATGATCCTGACTGTCCTATTACAGCCCCCAACAAAAATTCAACCAAAGTAAGTCAATCATTGTTCTTTTAGCCAAATGAGAAAAATGTGTTGAAAAAGCAGATTGTAATTCCATATCCTAAAATCATTCTCAACAATATGATGGAGTTTCAGGATAGTTAAATCTTTTCTTTCATATAATATGTAGTCACTGGCCATATTTGAACATCATATAATACCTGAAGTTCAGAATCTGGATTTAGGTGAAATGATGGTTGATCACACCTGCTTGAATTCTTCTGCTAACAGAAGAAGATAAGGAAATGATAAGGAAACCATGACCATTTGTATGGTTTACTTAGCATGAGTTCCAGGCCAAGACATCTGGCTTATTCCTAGTTTAACAAACCAGGTTCAAAAACTGAAGAACAAACAATAGCTTTGAAATGAACTTCAGTGTAGTATTATACTTTCAGTTTTGTACTGCAGCGAAAGGGATATTGGGATATTAATACAGTTAGATTTGCAAAGCCACTAAGCTGATTCATACAATCATCAGTGTTAAAATGATAAATGTGACTGTTGTATGAACAAATTGCTACCAATCAGGTTCTATGTACAAATGCTGTAGTATCAAAGAATGGAAACTTTTGTAGTTACCTTAATAATTTTCCAAAAGAGCATCTTTTTTATTTCAGGATATGAATACTAATATCTGAAACTGGTATATTTGCACGAATAAAGGGACATAATGGGGAGGAGAGTTCCTTTAAAAATCTATTTGATCAAAGAAACTTTTGAAATCAGAATTTATTGTATGTAGTAAAAATAATTGATTTGTATTTTAATTTGATAAATTATTATTATTAGGTTATTGGCTTTATTTTATGGTTTCAGTGGCCCTTATAATAAATGAAGCCACTTCCATTTTCAACAGATTGGGTTGGAAATATTCACTGAGTCCAAATTTTCTCCCTCTCCTGTTGCATTCCCATTTGTCACAATGCATGCCAGTTTCTCCTAACCCTTAGGCACATCAATGGAGGAAATCATGAAGAGCTAAAGGAGCAGAGAATAATGCTAATGGCAATAGAAACATAGGGTCAGGTGAACTATTGATTCTGAAAGCTGTCACGGATGGCTGTGTTCAAAACTACAAATCCTACAATAAATTCTTTTTCCTGTTACTGCTAAACTTCCAGCCAAAATTTGTCCTTCTCTTGTTTCTATCCCTCCTGTTTTGTTTGGGTTACAGTTTTCAGGTAGAAACAATTTCATTCTATACAGAAATACATATGTCTGTAAAATAAACAGGAGTAAGTCCCCACTGGTCTTTTGGTCATCTACATATTATGAATCTGACATTGAGAACTGTGATTGCATACAGTTGATTAGTAAATAGTTTTAGTCAAGTTGGTCACCTTCCTTGAGGACCGCCAAAGGAGTCTAGAATGTAATATTTTCCCTTAGTGTCTCTAGTGGTTGCATTTGGGATTCAAATAAGGGTAACAATACCAAAGAGCAAGATTTGATTATATATCTTACTAGGGCTTCAGTATGCTGGAAGATTTTTTTTTTTTTTTAGAATTTTTTATCCCGCCTTTATAATTTTTTATAAATAACTCAA